AAGGCATTGCTGTGTAACATTAGTGCTAGTCAGCACTTGAAAATGTTACCACTTACTCTTTTTATTGGTTTGTGAGGTGGGGTCCTGGTTGGGTGGGGATACAACAGCATATTTGTATAGGATAAAAATCATGATTATGCTATTTATGTATAAATGTTGTTGTGTTGAGAAAAGAACCACTATTTTCATGGTAATAGGGACAGAAACAAACCTGTATGTTTTATATCTGCCTGGGAGCCCATCGGCCTTTATCTTGAATCTTTCTGTGAGTTGGGAGTTCTGCCTATCTCATCTGGGCTGACTACTAATAGGCCTTCTGGATTCACTGCAGCTTCTCTAGCTTTCCAAGTGCTTATGACCTTTGCTGTGTCAGATCGCCCTTTGAGCAGCCTCCATCTATTTAAACAAAGAGCCAGAGGAGAAATTAAAGAAGTATTTGAAAAATGATGAAGTGACAGCTTTTTCCAACTTCTGATTCAGTCTGCTTTTCCCGTGGGGCCATAGAGGTGGAGAAGGGCAGTTTCGGGAACGTTCTGTGCTGACCAGTGTCTGTGCCGGAGCAGGGAGGACAGCAGGTAGAGACAATGGAAATAGGTAGCAGGCTGGGTGATGTTTGTTCATTTACCATTGTTGCATGGAGACAGTGTGTGAGGTTTGGGTTCTCCTGGTGAGAACGTGCATCATTTTGTGTAGCACCGTTTTGTGATTTGTGGTCAGTTTTGCTTGCCTGCATAGCCTCTTCGCCTTGTATCACACAGCGCTGCTTCTGTAAAGAATTCATCTGGAGAGCTGGCTTTGAGGGAACCATCCCCGTGTCCGTCTGACATCCCTGACCTGGATATAGTCACTGACAGTGTTAACGATACATCCACGTGTTGGTGATGCTGCTCATCCCCATAGTTGTCCATAGGATGTTTCTACTTGGAGACAAGTTTCTGAATAAATTTTTGCTCTTTCATGCAGGTGTGTGGAGATGCTAATAAAAGAGCAGTTGAGAAAGTACAAGATAAAAATGGCTGAGATTAATCAGCTGGAAGCAGCTGAGAGCCTTGCTTTCCGTCGGCTTTCGCTGCTTCGACAAAACACGGTAAGTACTGCAGCAAGCCCCAGGGCCTCGCATCCCAGCAGGCAGACCCTGGTGGGGGTGCTGAGCCCAGCACTTTATTAGGAACTAATTGTGCTGCTACGTGGGAGTCTGGGTTTAGTGACATGAACAGAGAGTACCTCCTGGACTTGTGAAGTGCACCCAGGTTCCCACCCAGTGACTCCTCTGGTCAGGAATATGAGCTTGGTCCACAGCAAAAAGATTCCTTCACTCTAGGGGCTGTGGTGGTTCTCTTGTTTCAGGTGTCCTCTGCAAATGCTATGTTGTGTGTCTTGAGCTTTCTAGATTAGCTAACTGTGCAAAGGCATCACGTGGTCAAAGCCTCTTTGGGCCTGAATACGTCTTAAAATGTATATACTACATAAATCTGTTGTCTTTCTGTGGGTTAGTGGGTGAAACAAATTGCCCACTTTAGGAACCTGTTTCTAGTTCTGCCACAAACTGCCTGAATAGCCTTGGACAACTCAAGTGTATCCTTGGACTCGGTCACCCCTTCTGTTAAACTGGGGAGTTGGTATTTGCCTGCCTTTTGGTTTGTCAGAGGAGCTTTGAAATGCAGAGAATGAAGGAGCTGTAGTGGAAGAGGTGGGTCTTACACTGCTGACTCCAACCCCAGTGCTAAGGAGGCAATATGGGAAGGGTGGTGGGACAAGGATTGCATTACCATATCCTGTGCTCCTGCTTTTCTGTATACTATGTAGTATGTGATCTGGATCAAATCCTGCCTAAATCCTCCTGGTCTGACTTCATGAATGAGTGCTCATTGCCAAACAGAACTTGCACTGTGATTTTTTTGCCATACTTCCTCAGCCTGGTCATCCTGTAGATCAATTGATTTTTTTTTTTTTAAGGGAAGGTCATATTAAGGCCTTGCCCTTTAAATTTGTGGTATGAACCTCTTGTTTGGATGCTAAGCAGCACTAGGCAAGTAGGTTTTGAGTTGCATGTCTACTTTTAAGAAGGATGTAAGATGTCTGACAGCTGAGGAATGAGATTCTCCATGTGGACCTTAGTATTGACTTTTGTATGACTATTTGCTGATTCAGACGCTGCTGTAGCTGTTGTGCAAACCCTGGAAATCTAACCAGGAGTGAGGATTTTACAACAGGAACAACTAAATATCACTGGTGGACAAGAAAAACTTAAAAAGCTGTTTGATTTGACATTGTCAATAAGCTGTTTTACAAGGTTAAAATACGCTGAGCTGAGTGAAAGGATGTTGATGATGAATTATCATGTAGCTGTATGCTTGGGTAGATTGTTCGTTTCATAAAGCCTTTAATATTTTGTGATTTATCTGGTTTGAAATTGCGTAACAGCAAAAATTCTTAACAGCTAGACCTGCTGTGACTCTATATAGTTTTAATGACACTTTTCTGATCAGAAAAATTTTTTGCAATTACCTGCCATAGTGAATTTGGTCTTCGTCTTTCTTTAGCTCTGGCCTGTAAAACTTGGGTTTTCTTCTCCTTCTGAGGGGGTACTGGTATGTACAATACCTGACAGGTTCTACATGCATGGTTACTTCTCTTGTGGCACTATTGCATGACTGGGAACTTGCTTGGTTGAAAATGCACTTAAAACAATCCAGACTGCGTGCACCAATACATCCTTTCCCTACCTGCATGTACAGCTGTTTCCCTGCTTGTTAGCAGTTCTCAACGGTTCATATTGGTTTGTAATTGACTCTCAAAACTAAATACCAGTAAATGAGGGCAAATTGAGTTTCTAATAGAGGATGCTGAAACAAATCTGGTGAATAAATTTTTCATGAGAAATTAAACTACTCTTTGCCCGATCTAAATCTGTCTGGAGTGGGTAACTAAGAACTCTTTTCCACTTCTGTTAGAGTCCTTCATGTGCCAACTCCCCTGCCCTCTGCCTTTTAGACCCAATGCATTATCCAGACTAGAGCGTAGCTTTATTTTGCACCTGATCAAGAAATATGATGCAGTTAACTCTTACAGAATAAAAGCCCCCAGCCTAAGGGAAATGATGACAATGATTTTCCTGAGCTGGGCTCACTTCAGGAGGAAGAGGAAGCATCTGATGCTGAGAAGCGAGAAAAGGAGATTTTGATTGAACGCATCCAATCAATTAAGGAGGAAAAGTGAGTCCCAGTTTTGCATTTGTGATGAAATCCATTTAGCTCTGCAGCTTGTTCCTCATGCCTTAGGAGGAGCATAATACGCTGCTTTAATGTTGTAGGGTGATATCAAAATGACATAATTATTTAGTCAAGTATTTAGGAAGTTGGAAAGAGAAAGTAAGAGGTTAACAGGTAAAGAAAAATACTTTGAAATATAGGTTAAGGTGGAGATTTAGTAGTTCATGGCAGTGGGCTTGGTACATATTGAAAGTCTTTGCCCTTCTGGAGTGCTACAGTGTGCGTGTTTGCAGGGAAGACATAACTTACCGATTACCTGAGCTTGACCAGCGATGCTCTGATGAGGAAAACGTGGACTCGGAGACCTTGGCAAGCACGGAAAGCCTGCTGGGCGACCGAGCAGGGAGGCTGGATGCCGAAGGTCAGTATTAAGGTAGTATGTGCTTTCTTATCTTCTACATCCCCTTACCCCTGCCCTGCAGCCTGACATCTGCTTAGAACCGATAGTCTCCGTTTGTGTGTTAAAACCGTGCGTCTTACTATCAAAGCGCCTTGTCCTTTCTCTAAAGGAGCTGCTCTGTCTGGATTCCAGAGCCGTGATCAGAGCCTCGGCATGATCGCCAGAGACTCAAGCAGAGCGCCTGGTGTTTCTCTTCCATTGGCCTCCACAACCTCCTCTCCTGCCTCCTTGGCTACAAGACACAGATTATCTTCAATGCTGGTCAGCATGAAAGTACCCCGCCGAAATCCAGTGATGCCAACAGCAAATATAAGACTTCCTCATGGGATCCTCAAGCTGACGGAATCCCAGCGCAGGACTTCAGTTTTGGAAGGGTCTCAACTCGTGGTGAGACGGAGGGAGCAGCCAGCAAGGCGACCTGATAAGATCCACTCTGTGTACATTGCACAAGGGTCGGCAGTGGCCCAGGCTCAGGAATCTGTGGATGAATATGAACCAACAGCAAAAGTGAAGCGGCGGTTTTCAGACCCTTACTCGCATGTGCCACCTATGCCTGAGTGAAATATTTCAGGTTGCCCGATTCTTATGTTGAAGGTTGACTGCAGCTCCGGCGCCATCCCCTCAAGGCCTGTGAAGGTGCATGTGTCCTTGTGTCCTTGTGGTTGGGGAGCTGGCGGCCGGGGCCTCCGCAGCAGGCCCAGGTTGAGCGGAGCTGCTCCTAGCAAACGGTATTCTTCTCTTTGTAAGAAATCTAAATTAAAAGGAACTGCAGAAGAAATAGGATCTTAAATCTGCTTTAAGTAAAGTGCATGGAACTGAGCCTGTAAGAGGAAGGCGTGGGCCCTGGTAGGACCAGAGGGGAGCGGGGGAACCTGGGGCCTTGCTCTGTACCAGTTATGTTTCTACGACAGCTTCCTTGGCGGTTTGCGGAGTTTTTGGTATTGTAATGGCCTTCGCTGAGGCCAAAAGTATATCGACATGTTGATGAATACATTGCACTTTTTAAACCCGGTCATATGCGGTCATGCTCACTCATGCTGCTGTGCCAGTGCTGGCCCTTCCTCCGGGGAACGCTTGGTGCCGAATACAAACCGGTTCTTGTCACTCTGCCCCTCCTGCCACATGCAGGAAGGGGCTGGGGCGGGGGGTTTCCACGGGGCAGGGGCTTGGGCCCCTCCACCTGCCTGCACGGTGCTGCGCCGCGCCTGGCAGGGCCGTTGTGTGGAGATGCGGGTCCGGGACTGGGGTGGGGCACTGGGCCGGGGTCCCCGCAGGCCCACCCCACAGCAGAAGGATGGCAGCCTGCAAGTGACGTGCGGCTGGGCCCCATGGCAATGGCAGCAACGCATCTGGAGCTGAACCTGGTGCGGCTGCTGAGCCGCTGCAAAGCACTGGTGGCTGAGCGCTGCCACCCGGGTGAGTGGGGGCTGGGGTTGGGGCCGGGACGGTGCACCCCGCTGGCGGGCATCACATGCCTGAGGGGTCTGGGCGTGGGCTGAAGCTGTGGCTCCGGCTCAGGGCTGCTCCTGGCTCCCGCCCTTGTCATGTAGGCATGAGAGCACCTGGGCCATGGTGGCTGCCTGTTCCCTGCTCCAGACCCGGGGTCGCTTCATGGGGCCTCGCTCTCTGGGGCCAGCTGTGTTGCTCGGCTGCCCGTGCCACCGGGCACATCCTGCCCGCTCCCTGGCCCTCGGATGCACGTCTCCACTGGACAGCCGAGCTGGGAACCCGGCAACCGGCTGCATCCACCTCCCAGGAGGTGCTGCCTAGCGTGCCCAGCCCTGACCACTGCCCCCTCGCACCCCGTTGCCTCTCCCAGAAGGACTTGCTGTAGCAGCAGATTTTCTGCCCATAGCTCTGACAATCGGGCAGCCGCGTGACAGCCGTCCAGTCCAGCCTGCTGTAGACCACAGGGCCCTCGTCAGTCTGAAAATGATGTCGTCTGAAACGTGCACCTGCTCCTGTTACTGCTCGCGCACAAAACCGCTATTGGGGAAATTACCAGGTTTTGGTTTGCCCTGCATTGGCTGCATGTCACGGTCAGACGGGTCGTCCAGCGTAGGCTGGTGCCCAGGGGTGCAGTGTGGAGGTGGAAGGGGGAGAAACGGCTTTAATACTGGCAGATAACAGAGTCTGGCAAGGGGATGTGGAGGCACCAGTAACTGCTTCTGACTTGCGTTTAATGAGTCATTTCCAAAACTGATCGTTTAAAACAGTCTCTGTCGCTGGAGATGTATTTCTGGATTTGGGAGGGAATGCTTTGTCAGCCAGCTAATGTGTGGGGCACCTTACGGTTCAGCATTATCTGGCCTTACTTGTTTCTTTGGGCTTCACAGAAGTGGCACGGATAAAGTTAAGCTTCTAGATCGTGCGGTGAGGATCTGTTTGTTGCCCAGAAGAGAGTTTGCTTTTAATGCAAGGTGCAGATTCTGCAATCTGCATATGTGAGTGGTGCAGGTTAACTTCATGCAAATGAGTTGTGTTTACACATGTTCGTTGGGCTTTTAGAAGCATCATTAGATCACGTTTAGTTAAAGGGAAGCTCTCATCAATTGAGGTTCAGCCTACCTCGCCCTCAGCATCTGTCATTGCTTCCACTTGCTGCCCACACTGGTGAAAGTTTTGCTTGTTTTTTGTGGTTTTTCCCTCCAGTATGTAGGTGCTCTTGAAGAGGTGCTTCCTGAACTAAAGAAACACTCCAAGTGAGAGCTCTCTAACCAGACACAACATATCTTACATGTTTTTAAGTTAGTTTGGTACCTGCGAAACGTGGAGCCTAGGACACTGGAGTTGCACATACATTTGGGTCTCTGATAATAGGTTGCTGGCTTGTGCGTGGGCAAGGCGTCTTGATGTGGCTGGAGTCTGAGAGGTCGCTTACCCCAGAGGATGTTTTACTGCCATTAACACATGTCCGATCCAATAATAAAGTCCCTGGGGACTGCTGTCCCACTGCTGTTGCGGGAGCACTCAGCGGCCTGTTTAGACCTCTGGGGATGCATTGTGTGGTGCAGATGCTTGGAAGAAGTGATCTGCGTCTCGGAGCCTTTTCAGTCTCCATATGCACCACAGGTGTGATCTGTGTGGCAAGATGTGTCTCAGGAGTTTTTAGATTGAAATCTTCCAGCAGTCTCCCAATTCACAGGTGCTGCAGTAGCTTGCTGGTAAGCTCCAGCGTGCCTTGTACACTCCGCCTTCCACATAGGAACACATGCACGTGAGGGACAGAGCCTCCCCTCAGAAAAAGCACACATGGTCAGTGAGGCAGCTGTCTGTAACCCTGCTCTCCCCTGCATGTGCACCCTCACACTCTACATGTCCTGGAGAAGCTACCGCTAGAGGTATCAGTTGAGTTCATTTTCTGTGGGCAGTTCAACCTGTGATGCTTCCAAAAGTTAGCTGCTGGGGAGCCAGCTGTGAGGGTAACCCTGTCTCTGAGTAGTTTCTACTGGAATTCCCAGCCCCTATGCATTTGATTTTTCTGAAATGCTTGCAGTAGGAAATGCTGACTCCTGGCTTTCATGGTATCCTCTGACTCTCGCAGCAAGGCTGCCCCTGAGTTGATGAATGAATACTCCTGCAAAGTGAATTTCTTAAAGGGACATCTGGAAGCTGAAAAATGGGTAAGATCCTTGTCCAGCCTGAAATGCCATGCTGGGTGTTCTTGTGCTCATGTTGCTGTCATTGTTCTGTGGGACTGAGGCTCTAATATCCTCTTGAAGCATTGAGTCTCATCTTGGCTTCCACGCTTGCATGTTCTTTCTCCAAACCTTGAGCATGTCAGTCAAGATCTAGAATTCAAGTGGCCGTGACCTCTGGCATTCCAGACTCGTTCTAGGCATGTCCCAGAATTGCCTTTGTGACAGATGCTGCTTGTTCCACACAGCTTGCCCTTTCATGTGTGCCTCCTGCGTGGCACATTTCTAGAGATGTCTATGCATCCGGAGAATTGGCATTTAATGATCTCTGTGCTGCAGTTTGATCTGTTGCAGTCACAGCTGTCTACGCTGTGTCATTTTGCTCCCCTCCCTACTGTTCAGGATGCAGCGGTGGAAGAGCTCTCTAGATTCTTGCCCCAGATCACTCGTTCTCCAGTGTCCCTTGCAGAGCATTGGGTTAATGACTCCTTTTGGCCATTTCTCTTTTATAGTTGTCATCAACTGAGAAGGCACTGGCAAATGAGTTCCTGACTCCAGGACAAACTACTACGACCAAAGAGCAAACCCCAGCCACTAAAACAGTTGACCTGCGGATGAAAGCTCGCTGTACGGACAAGATGAGGAGCGAGCTGCTCGGCGCAGTATGTTCTGCTGCTAGTTCCAGGGGGTCACCTACCTCACCCAGGTGCTGTCCCCAGCATATGCCTTCCAGCCTTGAAATGACAGTGTCCTCAGGGACCACTGTTGGTAGCAGGCCTCAGATCCATGGCTCTCTGTGGAGGCAGGTCATAGCCAAGAGAACTCTTACAGCTTCTGAGATTTTTTTGATTTCATTTTTCTTGTTCAATTCTCCTCTCAAAGTGTGTGTTTTTAAAGCTGAGGATACACCCATCTCTCCCCAGTGAGAGCACAGATTGTCAGTTGGCAGCATGTTGCCTTCAAGGGGCTGAGCCTAACTTACAATCTGTGACAGTCTTGCCTCCTTGCGGTGGATACAGGGCAGTTGCTCACTTGCTGACCGGAAGCATTAGAAAGAGGACGATGCTCTGGGGATGAGATGTGCTTGCAGTTGGGCCCCAGTTCCATTTGTGTGTGTGTACCTAATCTTGCTTTGTCTCCTTGCCTCCCCAGGATCCCTTGTCTATCAATGGCAAGTTTCTATCTGAGAACTGGGTTCAGATGCTCAGGGTTGCACGGCGGTGCATGGAGTGGTTACAAATCAGCTGAAGCCTGCTTGACCCCAGGAGTCTGGAATGCCTCTATCAGACCAGCTGATAAGACACCTAGAAGTGGTAGCACAGATGTTGGTATTGTGTAGTGCCCAGTTGTGCCCTGATGTGATTGTGCCAGGCTGCTTCAGGACAGAGAGTATCTGTCTGCATGAATTCAGACTTACTTCACGGTTGGACACAAGAGTCCAGTCTTATTGTTACCTGTGTCTCCTGGCGCAGGCAGAGTGCATAGTTCCAGGAGCCACTTGATTTCTAGATCCTGTTAACTCTTCTAAAATGCGTGACTGATCCGCACTGTACCCAGCCACATCAGCAGCCAGTTTCTGTAGCTGTTGCTGGAGGAGCTATGCTTGACCTAGATGAGAAACCAAGCTGCTGTCATTTGGGAACAGCGATTCAGTTCTTTTCTTCAGGCTGGTCTCTTCCATTTCTCTGAACTGAACGCGGGTGTGATAGCTTGGTGCCTCCTCTGTCAAAGCTTTCTAAACTCTTGTTTCCTCAGGCAGGTGCCCAGACAAAGTTAAACCTTTAATTTTCTTTGGCCTCTTGTAGTTTTCATGGATCACTGCTTATAAGGGCAGCCTGCCATGATAGAGTCAGGCCTGGAGGTTTATAATATGCTAAAACACAAGGTAACTGTTTTTCTTTAAAAACAGATTCTAAGGAGCCGAATGTAAGGAAGTGCAAGTAAGTAACAATCTAACATTTTGCTGCTTTGTCAGAAGTGACACCTGCTTTCCAAAGGCTTCTGACGTTGATTTGGGTGCAAGGGTTTTACTTCCTGTTTGTGTAAGCCCAGGTTTTAATGACTGGCTTCCATGACCTGTGTTTAACTTACTGCTCTTTCCAATTGATAAGATACGTGAGCTGTAATGTAATGTGCTTGTCAGCTTACATAGCAAAGTGCTTTCGGGAGAGCAGTCCTTGAAACATTTGAAGTATCCTAACCTTTCTGCCTTGTTCTCTGTAGAGGACTTGCACCTGATGAGAAACAGTCGGCAACGGAGCTGGATGCCGTGTTGCAGCACCATCAGAACATCCAGGAGAAGTTAGCAGAAGAAATGCTGAGTTTGGCTCGCAGTCTCCAAAACAACACTTTGGCAGCACAGAACATTATTAAACAAGGTAATCAGGTAACACCTGTTAGTATTAGGAACTCGGTAGGAACGCAGCGTAAAACACAAGTAGGCTGAGATATAGTATAAACAGTAAAATCTGTAACTGGCTGCTAAATACAGGTACAGGGGAAAGAGTTCGCTGGCAGGACCTGTCTTTTCTTTGATGCATGTGGTCTTTACTGGGGGCAGACTTTCTTTTGTTTTGCCTTTAGCTATGTAAGAAACGGTGTCCAAAAACTTTCAAATGGTGGCGCGTGAAGCTATGGAGGCCTGACCTTTGAAGGCTTTGGGAGCTGCAGATGTCTGGCACTTCTGCAATTGGGTTACTTCACTTAAGGTCCTAAATCTGTCTGTGGGCATCTCCCTTCAGACTGCAGTTCTCAAATCTGAGTGCCGATAGTATTTACCACTGGGGCCCCTTTGTATTTTCTCCATTGTAGGGCCTGCTGGTCTGGCTGTCAGCACCACTTGGGCTTGATTGCTCACCAGCCCCGAGATGTTGTCTTCCGTCTCCTGAAAATCAGGTGACACACAGCACCCTCTTTGTTCCCCAGACGTTGTCTCGGTCCCTCAGGATGGTGGACCTGAACTTTGAGAAGCCGAAGGATGAGTCTGAACGTCTTGAGCAGCATGCAGAGAAATCTGTCAACTAGTTGCTGTGGATAATGCTAATCATAGTGTATTTTATTTTTATCAGCATGATCCTCTTTATGAGAATTTTCCCTAAACTGAGATGACTGCCACAGTGCCTATGAGCACTGTGTGAAAGGCCGGGCTGTGTTGCACACGTGGATTATCACCCACTCATTTCCTCTACTAGGCTGATAAACATTGGCTGCGGAGCAGCCACCAGTCACTGGTCTCGTCTCAGGGAGGATCTGTCAGACTAATTCTGTATCCCTTCCTGTGCCTTTGCTGGACTCACTGGGACACCTTGTAGAGGAGGTTTGCTGAGTCAAACCCCCAGTAAACCTTTTCATTCGGTTACTGTTGCTGTTTTCTTGAGAGAACTGGAATAAAGTGTTGATGGTGCATCCCAGCAAAGGGGTCTTTGCAGGTGACTCAGTGAATGCTAGCCTCCTAGCTCCTGAAGTGGTTGTGCCCTGGAGCAAGCCTGTATAGGTCCAGTCTGGTCCTGCTGTATGCAGGTAAAATCTTTGACTTTGAGATTCTCAGCCGGGGTGTTTGGTCTAGATATGGTCTGCCCAGTCTCAGTCTTGCTGATCTGCTACTTCCTGCATTTCATCACAGCCTCGTTCTGTGCATCTGAAGAAAGTCAAAAGGGCTGGTAAACCTTTCTTATGGCATGGGGCTATACAGTAGTCACGAGTGGTATTTGGAATTCAGCTGCCTAAGAGGTGACTGCAGGAAAGCAGGGCTGTATGCACTTGCTCAATAAAAGGTTTGCCCAGAATGAGAGTACTTAAGAGCACCTGTTTTACATAAAACATTTTGTGCCGTGGACAAATCTTGGGGGAGAAACTGCCTTGAAATGAGTGTAGGCCTGAAGCATGGTGCCCTGGATGCTTGCAAAGTGGTCTTTCAGAACCAAGCAGCAATTTCCACGGCCCATGTAAGTCCCCCGGAAGTGCTGGTGACCCTGCTTAGATGCATCTGCCCTGTGTTTTCTAGGGATGGTTCCCCTCGGAGAGAGGTCCCTCTTCCCCGATGGGCGTTCTTTCCGGGTCTGCAGGGGGGATTCTCTGCCTGCCCGTCTGAGCCACCAGGTGGCTGTTGTCAGCGCCGTTCTCTGCAGCCCTCCTGGGTGAGGAGTGTGCTGGGAAGAGCTGCTGCCACAGTCAAGGATGGGAGGAAAATTTGGCTGACTCTTGGGTCCTGTGTTTGGAGAAGCAAGCTCTGTGTTTCATGGCGACTTCACCCTCCTTTACATTAACCAGCTTGATTGGGACAAGTGCTGATCTTGACTGCATAAAGCCATGGTGATTGCACACACTGTCTGTTGTGCTAATTCTTGAATACATTAAGTTACTGGCTAAGCTGTAAAGATCACTTATTTTCTTGTAAGCATTCCTTTGTCTTCGATAACTGCTGATCCAAGTTATGAGGACTCTCACCTGTAATAACCCCTGAGAAGAAACAAACAGTTGCAGCAGTTAACTTGCGAAAAACATTAACTTCCTTGGACAAGACCTCAAATTGTTACCATGCCGTCATGGCTTGCTGCTTTTTGTTTCTGCAGCGTTAGGTATCATTGACTAGTGTGTGTGTTGCCCCTCTCAGCTGGCTGCTGTTTGCCTTAGAAAAGCCCTGCATTGCAGGTTTCTCATCAGAACAGTTTAAATCCAGTGCACTCAGTGCTTGCATGATAAGGTGTGAGTGCAGCTTCCTACTGTCTGCAACCCCTCCCCTCCACCTTTCACCCTCAAGAGAAATCATATTCTCCAAACATTGGTCTTCAGTTTGTAAGAGGCTCAGAGTCTTAATACAGCATAGAATCACGGAGTCGGGAGGGACCTGGACAGATCATCGAGTCCGACCCCCCGCCATGGGCAGGAAGGAGCACTGGGGGCGGGAGGGGTCATAAGACCCCAGCCAGGGGCCTGTCCAGTCTCCTCTTGAAGATCTCCAGGGAAGGTGAAAGCACCACCTCTCTGGGGAGCCTATTCCGGGCTCTGGCCACCCTTACCGTGAAGTCGTTCTTCCTAATATCTAACCTAAACCTATCCTCCCTCAGCTTGTGGCCACTGTTCCTGGTGAACAGACTTGCCCCGAGTCCCTGCTGCTGGCCCCTGATAAGGTTGTAGGCAGCCAGAAGATCCCCCCCCTCAGCCTCCTCTTGCGGAGACTGAAGAGATTCAGGTCCCTCAGCCTCTCCTCATAGGGCTGGCCACGGAGGCCCCCAACCATACAAGTGGCCTCCTCTGGACCCGCTCCAGGTTCCCTATGTCCCTCTTGAAGTGTGGCGCCCAGAACTGGACACAGGACTCCAGTCGCGGCCTGACCAGCACCGCATAGAGGGGGAGCAAGACCTCTCGGGACCTGTTAGCAAGTTGTGCAGGTAGAGGTGTAAAGCCCAAATGGAAGTGCTGTTGTCTGACTATAACATCTTGGCCCTTGAAATTGATAATTAAAATGATGAGACCATAAGCAGTCGGAACCAGTAATTTTACTTGGGTCTGAAGTTGCAGGTACCGTCAGTGAGAGAATCGCTGCCCCCCAAGTAGACTTTTGCAGTGCAGTATCTGATGAAGATTGTAGGTAGATATAAGGTGCCAGGGCAGGGATCGGACCCAAGCAGTCTAATGTACTTAGAGCAGGATCTCGAGTGACCAAAGTGATCGGTCTCTGATCATTGCAAACACTCTCCTTAGCTCTACTGCTAAGCTGCCGCCCTGCTTTCTGCCTAGCACCGTCCAGCCAGCCCTGCCCCGGCAGGAAGAGTCCTATGGTAGTATGGCAGTACCAAACCAGTCGGATGAATTACCAAGACAGGTGGCTGTCTCCCCTCACCCAGTGATTGCTTTAAGTGGCAGCTGTGGCTTTGCCTCTTGCTCAGATTAATTCAATGATTCCTGTAGCTCAAGAGCAGCAGGTCCCCTCTCCTTTCAAAGTGGTTAAAATGCACATTTTTCCATACCCAAAGAGTTATAGACACTGCTAATGGAAAATTGCTTAATTTTCCTAAGGCACTGAGAAGGCCTAATGGAGCGAACAGGTTGGGCTTGTTAGTTGGCTGTTGACAGACGACCTGCTTTCAGACAAAGCGCAAACCTTTCCAGAAGTCTGGGTCATAGCAGGCCTCAGAGCACAGCAGCCTCCAGGCCTGGCAGTAAGAGTAGCTGCAGGTCAGTCTAAGCTGTGTTGGCAGTCAGCCTTGGTGGTGAAGATGTTAATGTACATGTCAGAGCTGCATCCTTGGGCTACAGCTGGAGTTGATGGTCGTAGAGGGTCCTCCAGGGTGAGTGGCCTGTGGATGTCAACGAGCAGGGATCGTGGACAGCAAGGGCAGCGCATTGTACGCAGTGGTTCCCAAGGCAGAGTGACCAGTCCTGCAGCTGAGCCTGGGCATGTACTGCACAAAGCCTCTGTGTACTCGATTCTGCAGTCTGTGTCGGTCCTTCCAGAACTGGCTGCCAGTTGGGGCAGACTTGCCAGATGGGGGAGGCAACAGAGCTGCAACCAGAATGCTATTCCTGACTTGACTTGCTTAGTTTGTGGCAAGTCTCTGCCCTTCTTTCTACCTGGGTTACAGTACTGGAGTGGTACATCATGGGGCTGCGGCTTAATGCTTTCATGCTAGTAACTGCCAGAGAAGTGCCAGTGCTGCCTTACGCTGGATAGTGTGACAGAGGAGGCAGATCCAGTGGGAGCACAGCCCAGCAGGAATGGGACGACAGGCAGCCACAGCCCCCAGCACTGAACCGACAGGGAATGGAGGTCCTTGTGTTGGCGCTCCAGAAGCTTTGACCTTGGGATGCTCGGGCAAGAAATGGTAACGTAGGGAAGTGAACAACTTAGGGAACTGTGTAGGAGGGGGAGTCTGTTTGTGTGATCTGGGGGAACGTCCACGGAGCCCCCGTTCACTTCCTTCCTTCCACTGGGATAGCCAAGTCCCACAGCACATTGGTAAAACCAGCCGGCTTGTTAAGATGCTGATAGGAAGCTTGGGGGGTGCATGCGCTGCCATCGTCTGATCTCTCTTGGCCTGTGCGTGTTTGCTGGGTCTGTTTCTCTCGGTTGGTAAGCCAGTAGCTCCTTGCAACAGCGGTGAAATCCCTGTAAGGTGCCGTAACATCTCGCAAAGGCCTTTGCCTTTCAATGGCAGCTACCACATATAGCAAAACCCCTGGCATCTCACCTATGTGTGGAGCAAGCATGTTAAATGTTCATGGAGCATCTGAGCTACAGAAATAGCCAAAGAGGGAAGAAGTGGGTGGGATTGGAATCGGTTCAAGAAGAACATGGATGGAGCAGACTTTGCCATGGGTAGTAAGTCCCCCAAGTGAGAGGGAACCTCCTGAGACAGTGTCATGGCGTTGGGCTCAATGGAGCATACGGCAGTGAGAGTGGTTATAAATTACCACGTTGCAGAGCAGCAGCTTTGTCCTGTTGCCACCAGTTTAGACCCTTTTACTTGGCTGTCCCCCTGTATCATCTTCTCAGCACTGCACTGCATCTGTCCCAGGTAGTGGCTAGTATCCTGGGTTGCCTTGTACACTGCTTGGGGGGGGGGGACGGACATGGAAGTGCTGGGTTGTCATCTGCCTAGGCTGGATGAGGGTGGTAGCGGTCTTTCTCCCTACATAGACCCAGTCGCGCCTCTCCAGTGCTAATGCTGTCCTAGAGCCCTTCAGCTCCCCATCTGCCTTGTTACTGTAGCTTTGTCTGCACCCACAAGAGGTGCTGGTTGGAAGCAATTTAGATGCTGAGGTGGCCTGGTCGGTGCCACCACCTTTTTGTGGGCACTCTGAGTCTAATTTGCTTGTGTCTGCCTTGTATTTATTTAGCTTCCCAAAGGAAGGAGTGTGGTGTTCTTACATGGGCCAAGTGCCCTCACGAGGCAGTGAATGGCCCTGCACTGATTTAGGTAAATCACTTTCTAAAGCCACTTAGTTAAAAGGGGATGCTTTAGGGCAGATGAGCATACCACCGTGTGCCTATGTTGTTTTTCTCCCACATCTTGGGGCGTGTTTTGGCCTGTGGCTGAGATGTATGCACATGGTGCTGCTTCCCGCTGTGCCCTGCAGGTTAGGGGACGCACACTGATACCTGCAATGCTTGTATGTTAGAGGGCCTGATCCACAACCCAGTGAGGTCAACAAAAACTCTGCTGCATTGTTTCTATTCCTTGAAGTAGTTATCTCCTTTGGAAAGGGATGAGGTACATATATGGCCAAATGGTGCTTGCACTGCTGGTGTATTGGTGCTTCTGGCCTGAAACGGGCGAGGCAAATACCGTGGCAGGTGTGAAGTGCAATGATAAAGCTGGTGAATCTGATTTTGTGATACAGCGTACTGTGAAGAAGATACCTCCTTTAGTGAAGGCGTTTAAGGGAATCGGTTCCCTTGCAAAGTTGCTTCTGCGTTTGCTGTTTAAGGTAAGGTGTGGGGAAGAAGCGGTTGGGTGAATCTAGCTTGCAAGCTGGATCTGGACTGTTCAGGTGATCAGAGAGTCTTGCTCATCCCTCCGATACAGAGATGTGCAGTGCAGATGGGCAGGAATTCCCCCGAGGCTAGGGTTCAGCAGTGACTGCTGCCTAAATCCACAGCTGGGAGAGCTAGACAACTGAGCAGAGCAAGAGAGAGCCTCTCCCAAGGAGCTTGTGGCTGCGGCCTCCTTCTGTTTGGCTTCTTCCTGGGTGCCACTGCTGTTTTGGTTTCTTTGTCCAGGACATGTTTGGTCCCTAATGTGATTGGGATCTAGGACGTTAATGTTTAGATGGTACAGACTTCGCGTTTCAGCGTGTTCCCAAGAGGGGAATGTGGGCTGAGGCTGCCTCCCTGCATACAGGCTGACTAGATTAGCCAGCAACCGATAGGCAGGAGAGCGACTGGGAACATCTGTGGTAGACAAAGCAACACCATGTGGCATTAGCAGTGTTCATTAAAGGTGATGTTCCAGCCTTTTTCTTTTTTTTTTTTTTTTTTTAATGCACATTGTTTCTCCATGCTGTCTGTGATGATGGGGTCTCTGGGGCAGGGCTGTTTCTTGCACGTTTGTCAAGTGCCCAGCACTGCGGGTGTTCTTGTAGTTTGGGTAGCTAATAATGGCACTTTTCAGCGTTGATTGTGAATGATAGAGATGGGATGTGATGGCTGGATTGATGGATGCCCTGCCCTATCTGAGACCTTTCAAGTGTCCCAGGCTGATTTCTACAATGGACAGCACCCTTGCAGGGAGGAGGAAGATGGAAGTGGAGTGGGTTAGGTGTTCTCGGGTGAGAGCGCTTGCCAGGAAACCCAGGGGGGCTGTTTGTAGCAGTACTGCCGGACAAACCTGGATGCGGAGGTATCCAAGACGGACGTTCCTTGTGCTGGCTAACGTGCGAGGCAGTGGCGTGTTCCAGCTGCTGCGTGCCGTGCTGCCCTGGAGAAGCCATTTCTGAAAATGACAAGCTGCTCTCAGCAAAAAGTTAAACGATAAAGAAAGGCATACTCCTACAGACAAGGGACTGGAGATTAGGCTAAATGTTGCACTGCCGTGGGTGACACTTTAAAAAGCAGATTGAGCAAAAGACTGGTGAAGGTCGGAGGAAGTGGACTGCTGTGACCTCTCTGGTCCCCTTTCATCTCCAACTCTTTTGATTCCGTACGTGTGCGGTGCCCTCTGCCACTTGCCTTGGGCGAGGTTACATTTTCTAGTGCAACAATGGGATTGTTCAGAAGGTCTTGGCAGTAGTTCCTGTGTTAACAGTAAAACACTAGAATGTCTTTCCTTCGCACGTCAGGAGACAGGATCTTCATCCTCTCAGTTTTCTCCCATCAAGTTAAGTTTCTCCCAGTCAGTTGTCAGTGGGTGTGAATGGAAGGAAGCATAAGAGGAAATCTGCTGGTCCATGACGTGAAATCATTTGCCTTAAGTGACTTGGCAATAGCCCTGTGGGTCTCAGAGCAGGAAGGGATGAGTTTCCCAAGGCCAGATCTTATGTGATCTCAGCTTGTGTGCCTGAGCAGTCTATTCTGTAACCTGTAACATCCTGCCCGTGACGTGTGGACTCACTCCATCTACTCGACTGGCTGAGATGGTGACTCCTACTTCTACTTCTCCGAAAAGCCAGAGGGTAAGCAGAGTACATGCTGCTTGCTGAGAACCTGAGAGCTTGGGAAGTGTATTGCACAAAGCGCATCGATCACAGGAAGTAACAATGGGGCTGGCTCCCAATAAACACTGGTTCCACGTGAGGTCCCCTCACACAGGGCCAGTGCAGAAGTATGCGCATCTCGTCTCTGCTGCCTCATTGGAGCTGGGAGCTGGATCCCAACAAAAGGGCAGTATTTTGTAGGTACAGCAGAGGTTGGAAGTCAGGGTGTCCCTGTCTGCCTGCTGGCTCTCTGTGGAACCGGAGCTGCTGGTTTTGGTCCTCACTTTCCTCCTTAAGTGAAGGTTACTACCGATCCACCTTCCAGGTAGTCTGTGAGAGTTGGTTCATCTCTGGCAATGATCCTTTGGGCTGCAAAAGATTCAAGGTCTTTCCTTGAGTTTGACTGGATTTGTGGATCAGCCAGTTACTTCAACTGAGGTGGTGGGTTGAGTATTGCTTTCCCTGCATCTTGGCGATTAGGATTATTTTCAATCCCCTCAATTGTCACCTGTCTGCAGCTGCAGATACCAGAAAGTTAAACTAGTGCAACGTGGTACCGGCTGCCCTTGCTGTATTGAATTGGAGTGAGCAGTCAGTGCTGCAAAACAGACTGCATGTGTGCCAGGCCCTGTCCTCAAGCTGCACTTCCACACGGTGCAGCTAGCCTCGGGGGGGCCCTCGTGCATGTCAGCATGTCTCGTCCCCAAATGTAGCTTATGAGGAAACGTATTTTCCCTCCCTGTTCCACCACCTCTGTCCCACAGGTTCTCGAAGCCAGGCTGGGTTCTCTCCAGATGTGTGAACTGTAGAGCGTCGGCCAAAGATGGAGCCTTGGAGGGCGCGGCGCAGAGCATGCTGCAGTGAGTTGGTGCTGCTTCAAGAGGCCAGCCCTGGTGTTGGACTCTAGCTGGTGCCCAGGAAAGAACAGCGCTCACCTGGTCTCTCTCAGCTGCACTGGCTTGGCCAGGAAGACTGCATTAAAAGAGACGCAGATTAGTGGTTCTGACCCTGAAAACACAAACCAATTTACCAAGTTCCCCTCCAGAATGGAACTATGCACTGCATCCTCCGGGCCACCCGCCTGCTGCTGTCTACAGGAACTCTGTGTTAAGGATATTTGGTCTCGGAGTGAAGGGGAGTCCCTCTGAAAAGTGTTGGGGGAGGACTTCTGTTCTCACGGGATTGATCCGGAGCAGCTAGGGGTGGTTTTGGAGTTGGTGCAACCCTGTTGGTTCTACATGAAGTCTTTTGGAGGCTGCATGACTGGTTCTAAGTTCCCAGTGTCCTAGAGAGCAGGAAATCTGGTCCTGAAAGATTTCTCAGTGCTTGCCCAGGGAGCATCCTATAGAGCAAGCCTGGCCCGCAGCACCCAGTCACCGTGGCAAATGTAGAGCCTTAAAGGGAGCAAGAAGCTCCCAGGGCTTGAGAGAAGGTCCCTGTCCTGCAGAGCCTTACCCAGGAGGGTGTAAGGGGGGGCCCCAGGAGAAGATTTGTCTTGCCTGCTACGTAGCTTGTTTTTGTTTTATGCTGGTACAGATCTAAGCTACCAGGGGAGATGAGGCCTGAGCCTGCTGGTGCTGTACCACGACATTGCGCATCTGGTTAGCCAGGGAGGGCATGTAATGACTTCTTATGGCTGATGCCAGCAGTAAGAAATTCACAAGCTGCCTGTGTCAAGCGTCATTAACGAATACGGAGACATGCATGACAGACATTTGAATCCTATGCTCCTTCTCTTTGATCTGAGAACAAAAGCAATGCCCCTGCAAGATCCTCTGGGCAATCTGGTGGTTGCGCCAGAGGAGAAAGCAGACCTCTTTAACCAATTCTTCACCTCCATTTTCTTGTGCAGGGACTGGGACTTCCCCACCGTGATGCCAGACAGACTCGAGGGGAACGCCTCCAGACCTCAGGTTGGGGAGGACCGGGTTAGAGAGCTGCTGGAGGGGCTGGACGTGTTCGAATCAGCGGGTCCAGATGCTCTCCACCCCAGGGTGTTGAGGGAGCTAGCTGGGGTTATTGCAGGGCCCTTGGCATGGCTTTACAAGTGCTCGTGGTGCTCGGGCCAGGTGCCAGATGATTGGAAGATAGCCAATGTGGTCCCCATCTTCAAAAAAAAGGGAGGAGGGAGGACCCAGGCAACTATAGGCCTGTCAGTCTTACTTCAGTCCTAGGGAAACTCTTTGAGAAGATCCTCAAGGAGCACATCTGTGATGGGCCGGCTTCAGGGGTGATGCTCAAGGGCA